CATAGAGTGATGGATGGATAGTGGCGGTCTGGTGCTGGCGAAGCCACACATGTGGGCATCTGTGGGGAGCTAATTATATGCACAATGTTGTGCATGCAGGGGTACTAAGCAAGCACGTTTATGTGTTAGTTGTGAGCTCACGCATTTGGTGCTAGATTTAAAAAAAATTAGGAATTTTTCATTTTCTTATATACTTCCTTTTCTTTCACTATTTTCCATAGGAAAATAATATAGAGGTTTAAGAAATTAAAAATTCTCCAACAAAATATAACCTGTTCCTCCTTCATAATATTTTTTAAAAGTAAAATTACATTTATTTAAAATTTAATATTTTTCCTCCAAAAAATTTTCCCCTTATTTCTCTTTTATTAGGATCTATAGTTACCCCCTTTGGGGGCTATGGAGGACATCAAGAAAGATGATGATGAAGGAGCCAAGGAAGATCAAGACATTTTTTATTTTTATTTGTTTTTTTTTTTAGACATTTCAAATGAATATGTTATTTTGTACAAATGTTTTAATTGTTTTATGCAATACATTGTTTTCATTTCTGTGTTTAATATGTGCACTTATTGATGTAGTTTAAGTCTAAGAATTGAGAGGATTGGTAAATTCCAGTGTGCAATGTATAATTAGGTCTATATCTGTGTTAACATTACAAACATGAAAATTGAAATAAAATAAAGAAGGATCTTTTATTCTTTTACATGCTACAAATTTTCGACGGTTTTCCCATGCATAGCTCACGGTTTTCCACTCATTTATTTAGCATTCCAACGGTTATAGACCGTAGTTTGATAAATTGATGGATAACTGACGGTCCGACAAGGCTATCGATAAACCGAACACCCTATCCATCGGTAAACTAACATACTAACTACCCAAGTGTTGTGAAAAAAACGACGACAATAAAGCGAAAGATCGACTCGAGAAAATTCACAAAATAGAAACAAAGCAGAACACACAGATTTATGTGGTTCGACAAACTGCCTACGACCACGGAGCTGAAGAGGATTTTATTACTCGAGGATTACATCCCTCGATAACCTCGACGATTACAAGAAAGAACAATCTCTCTCTCTTCTCCTCTCTCCTCTCTCCTCTCGAGAACAATACTGAAGCACACCAGAAGAAGAATATGGAAAGCTACCGATGTCGAAGAGAGATAATAAAGGGAGCTAGCATGTCTATTTATTAATGTCATCATGTCATTAGGCCCATTAAAAATTTAATTAAATAATTAATGAAGCTCATTAATTATTTCATTTTCTCTTCTGTAGCAAATCACAGAATGAATTAAGAGCAATTAATTTAGCAATTAATTTTGAGTATCAAATCCAATTTGCTGCCAAACATGAGAAAATGTTAATTTGAATAGTGAACCGGTTTCCATATTCGCAACACCAAAAACAACCTACAAGTTGTTCTCAATCTACAAATTTATGAAGGCTTTGGATCCGTCGATAAAAGGACGGATAATTGACGGTCATGCAGC